TATATTTTTAAACTAGACTTTTTCACTTCTTAGATGAGATCAGTGGAGCTTCAGGAGGCAGGGACTTTCCCAGTAGTAACCTCCTTCCTCCACAATTTGGTGACGCTAGAGCTAAGGGAGTATGTCCATTCCACAGCCAAGGATAGAGACCCAGCAAAAAGCCCTTCCCCTCCCTTCTCTATGAGTGAAGATGTCTGCTCCATGCTGAATTTTAGGCTCTTTCCTCACAGAAGGGTAGAGAGGCTGAGGGAGCTGGTGGTGAAGGTGCTTGGAAAGGCCAGAAGAGGAAAGTGCAGTCAGTCCCTGCAATGTAGCGCGAAGTGGAGCACATCGTGGGAGACATGTTTATAACTGTATCTGGTAATGGGGATTACTGGGTGTTCAGCACTTCAGTATAGTGACCATCAGTAGATCTGAGTCTCATTATCATTTCAGCATCATTGTTTGCTTCTTTATTACCACCCAAATGCTTTGTCATTTTTAATTCCATAAGGCTTACCTTTTCTCAGGAAGCAAGTTAGGATCTACTGCTTCATCATCAAATACTTCACTGATAAAATTCTTACCACTTCCTGACATAGGTGAGCTCAGGTTAAGGAAAAAAATACCTGCTTTGTCCTCATTTTCTCCTTTTTCTGCTTCTTCTGACTCTCTGACTTCCTGCGCTGGTCTTTTCCATCAGGGCTAACCTTCTCAGTAATGTTTTCTGACTCTTTACATGCAGAATCAGGTAGACTTTTTCATACAGGTTAGAGGTGGCAAGGAGTAGTTGGTAATTGTGAGTGTGCTATGGCTTCCAAGCTGTTTCTGCAGCAAAGTCAAACAGTCTAGGTTAGACCAGTGTTCAGCTGCACTCAGAAACAGCCTGGAAGTACTGAGGCAAACAGGCACAGCAGAAGGATGGATTAAGCAGTGGTGGGGTTTCTGCAATTAAATACTCATTCTGCCCTCCCTGTCTGCGTGAAGGCTTTTAGTCAGGTCCAGCACAAAGAGCTTAGTTTAAACTCTGCTGGCTTAAACTGACCTCTTGACTTTGTGCTGGGGTGGCAGAGGAGTATGCACTCATTTTTAAGTACAACAAGGAGGCATCTGAGTAAGAGAGTGGCAGCACTGAGTCAAACCAAGGGGAAATACAGACGTGTATTCTGCCTCTGCTACTGCCCTTTGATAGATCTAAGGAAAAAAATAGAACAGGGAAGGCGTGAAGGGATACATTCTGTACTCTACCCATCTGTATTGTATGCAACTCTTGATTCATAATCTCTGCCTTTACATTTAAAAGGCTTTCATATTTTTTTTTTCCTTCCATGATATTGTATAATTGCTTTTTGACTATATTAATGATACTGGCAGCATCTGACAGTGAATGCTATTACTGTTTTACGCTGCGTGAACGAAAACCAACTTCTTTTGCTTGCATTAAACTTGCTAATTTCATTGGGCATCCTCTTGTTCTCATGTAGTGAGAAGCCAAGCATCCATTCATTTATTTTCTAGGCACTTTCCCAGGGTTTTCCTGGTTTTATATATATATGCCATATCCCCCTTCAGTTGTCCCATTTCCAAGCTGAAAACTCCAAATCAATTTACGCAGTTCCAGGCTTTAATTGTCCTTCTTTAGTTCTCCCATGTAATTGTTGAGAGGCAAGTACCAGAGTAGCAGGCAGTATACAAAAGGGAGTTTTGTATAGTGCTATAAAGGTGTTTTCTCGTTTGTGCTCCTTTCCTTTTTTCAAAGCTCTTAACTGCTGGGTTTTTGACTGCCAACGAGCATTGTACATATGTTTTCTTTTAGTAAGTTTTGGTTTTATTAAGTCCTTTTCTTAATTGTTTTTAAATAAAGCACAATTAAAATGAATTATTTGGAGTGCTTTTTCTACCTACAGGAAGCTGAATTTCAGTACCTTATGATTAGTGTTTCAACAATAACATTTGAACCAACCCTGTCCTTTGCTCAAGCAAGATGAAAAAGAGCTGTTTTTATTAGAGATTTTTCAAACATCATTACAACAAAGTTATAGTGTTTAAACATTCAGTCTTTGCATTATCCCTAAATATGACAATTTCTGAGGTTTTATGAGTCTTCCATTAGCTCTACGCTCTGAGGCTTAGGCAAGGAATTTCAAGACACTGAGAAACTCTTTTTGATAGAAGATCCACTTTACATTGATTCTAATATTTCATTAATGGCACTTCATTGAAATAGCTGGGAGTCTCATCCTGTATATTTTTTTCTTTTGAAACTGTATTTTCATCATTTTTATGATGCATTGATTGTGTCAGTATTTGTGAGCCAGTTTCTTATTTTTATTTGTACTGCTTATACATCTATTTGAATTGAGGCTGGCTAGATAGCAACAAATAATGCAAAGCTCATTTCTGAATCAGCACAAAACATATTATGTTAGATGGCAAAATCTGGAAATTATACTGCATTTTCAGCTTGAGACTGAAAGAGTTAAACCCTCTTTGGCTTGTAATCTTAAATATGCATTTTCATTTCTTATATTTTTATACATTTGATATTCATAGGTGGTTGGTTTTTTTTTTTTGTTATAACATTTGTCTCTGTCTCCCACTAATGCGTACAGTCAGTCGAAGTGAAAAAGTAACATCCAAAAATAGAATGAACATGTCCTTCATTTGAAACATCTTATCTACTATACAGGGTAGTAGCATTACTGCTAATTACTACTGCACTCAATATGTACGACAATGGCAAAACTAAGAACAAGGGGAAAAAAAGCCACTTTTAGTTTCACAGTTTGCATCACACTAGTCCTATAAACCTGGGATTTGTGTGCTGATATTTATGCAATCAGTGGAAATCAGTGCATACTTCACAAGATTTGTGTAGTTTAAGGCATCTCTGGCACTTTGGAATTTTCAGATTGGTAAAATGGCTTATGTCAGGGAGGAATTTTTTAAATTGAGGAATCCTTTTTTTTTCAAAATATGTAATATTTCAGTCATGCAATCTCACCAGCAAAGGTAACATGCTATTAAGAAGATACAAAAGTAGACTTCCAACTGAGCACTGCCATCAGGTGCTCTCAAAATACCCTGCACTATCAGAGCTTAGAAGATTGACTGACCAGAACTGATTTCAACATCCTTTGGAGGTACAGTTTTGCAAGTGGATCAATGCTCATTTCCCTCCCCATCTTAGACCCCAAATCCTGCTCCCCTAGCTTTAACCCTGGGAGGCAGAGAGACTTCCTGCAGACTGTGTGACTGTGGTCACAGACAGCCATGCAAAGGCACTACTCTTTGCCCTAATGGCACTGGGGCTCTGTGTCAAAACTGATGTGATCTCATCAAATGAAAAAAAACAGCAAGTCAGTTTTCATTCTGTCATCCCTAAGCCCAGAGTGAGTAGAAGGGCCACTGAACACAGTAAACTTCTCTAGTGTATTACAATTACAGAAACACCTGGTACAAATACTGTTTTGCTAAACCACTGTGAAAACTTCCCAGAGTATTCAGTAGTTGCAAGGCTGCTCAATTACTTACCTGTATTGAGGTGGTTGTATGGCTGAACATTGTAAATCATTGGAAATACACAGACATACTAGTACCAGTAATAATTTTTACTCTGCCTGCAAAATACATCTTATGATGATTTACTGTGCAGATATAACATCTTTATTTAGTGTCCTACTCATATGTGGTTAGAATTATTTTTGCCAGTTGCTACTATTATTTGGTGTCACAGAAACCATAAATTGTGCAATTAGAATTAAAAAAGTGGTAATGCAGTCTAAAATAACTTCAGCAGTTTAATATCATAGAATCATAGAATAGTTAGGGTTGGAAAGGACTTTAAGATCATCTAGTTCCAGCCCCCTGCCATGGGCAAGGATACCGTACACTAAATCATGTCACCCAAGAGTCCATCCAACCTGGCCTTGAACACTACTTCGCATAGATGCTTTTTTCTTTGGAAAAGTTTTTCAGAGCTGGACAGTATTTTTAGTTTTCTGTACTAATTGCTGAAAATCTACTTGTAAGGCGAGGTGTTCACTGCCCACCTTGCAAATGAAAAAAGATAACTCAATAAGAGCATGCTTTTATCTTTATATTACTTTTTATTTTTGGTTCTAGAAAGGACTTGATTTTTTTTTTTTTTATTATTAATATAATTTTTTTACCATGTTTTTGATGACCGATTTCAGATATCAGTAAAAAAAGAAGTTTTGAGACCAGATGTACTAGAAATGCAAATGAGCAAATATCAGTAGATAAGATGAGACCATGATCTATCTTATCTAGTAACACTTCTGACTGAAAGTAGATGATTCAAAAGAGGAAGTTGGCAGAAATTTTATGACAGACAAATAGAGGGTAATCTCTCAGCCACCTTAAGTCTTCTCAGAATTCCTTAGGGCTTAATTTTAAGCCCTAAAGCATAGAGTTTCAACTTTCTTTGAAAATATATTGGCATTACCTATTACAAATCTGGAGTTCATGAATAGCAAGAATTTTGACAAATATGAAAAATGAGATAGTGCAAGTGTTACTGAAAACTGCAAATCTCTCAATTGTTGAACTATTATTTACCTTCTAAGCAGGTGAAAGAACTGGGGAAGGAGGGGGGTGATATGGCAGTGAATAGCCAATATTTTATGGTCCTTTTGATCCTTCAGAAACTCCTGTATTGTGGTGTGTTACAAAACTGATTTTTCCTAATGGTTTGAAATAAGAAAACAGCTCTGCTATGATGCCCATTTGTCATGTTTTTTGGGTGAAAGTTAAGTTACCCAGGGAGTGTTAATACAGTATATACTTTTGTGAGCATGATTTGATCACTGGTCACAAAGAAACTTAATTCACATTTCATGAATGGTGAATATTTAACTTCATGAAAACATTTTGAACTAATCTTTGGATTATCTGATGAAGCAGATGCTACCTCATGTAATCCCGTTAATCTAAAATAAAAGAAGAAGCAGCAACAAATGTATTTCTCCAAGTTTATGTGTTACTCCTTTTCTTTCCAGACAACTATTACGGCACCCCAAAGCCTCCAGCAGAACCAGCTCCACTGCTGTTAAATGTAACAGACCAGATCCTCCCAGGTGCCACTCCCGGGGCTGAAGGCAAACGTAAAAGGAATAAGTCTGTGAGCAATATGGAGAAGACAGGTATTGAGCCACCGGAGGAAGAGGAGGAAGAAAGACCTGTGGTCAATGGAAATGACGTGACAGTAACACCAGGTCTGTTTCTCCTTACTTTGCAATGCATTTCTGTTATTCACAGTCCCCAGTTAACCTCCCTCTGCACTGAGAATATCCATGTTCAGATAAGAATGTTCTTGCAAGTCTGAAAGCCAGGAATCCTGAATAATAGGATTTTTCTGAAGCCTAAAACAAATCACTTAATCTCCATTTGAGGAGTCATCTCACTTACCTTAACTTCCATAATGATATCTGACCCTGAACCAGTCCCTTTGAATCCTCTTTATAGACCAAAGAGAAAAATACCTACTTTCTGAATACACTTCATGTGCCTGTTTTAGATTTCTAGCTTAGGAAATGAACCACAAATTCCTTTTTCTTTTCGTTGTCTATAGAGGGAGTCTAGAGAACTGTAATTTGGTCAAATGAATCTAGTCTCTGTGTTTCAGGTCTCCTTGTTCTCAAATGGTGATGCAAGACAGTTCACTACATTATGAAGTGAACTTTTGTAAATCGTTATGAAATCTTGGCAATCTTGTGGAGTAAAGTTGTCATCATTTGTGGCAGTGCCAATGAAACTTAGCCGGCAATTCTATCAGGAAGGACCCTTTTCAGCAATATTCCAGAGCTTGCGTAAAGCTGATGAGGGTTTCAGAGGTCTAGTCCTAAAATACGGCTGTTTTACCCCTTGGATCACAGTTCTACAGAGAAAACAGGGCTCAAGATAGTGACTGCTGTCCTGAGAACACTCCAGCCTATTTGCAAGCAGGTAATCAGCTTCCCCTTCAATGTTTCAGCAAGTCGTCATTTTACAGTACTTAATAAGTTTTATTCTGAAACATAATTTAATAAAGCATGTTGTTGTGTTATTCCTGTAGGAAATTAAAAAATTCAGACTTTTATGTCTGTCTGAGAAGTAACTGTGAATCCTTTTTGGTGAACTTAGAAATTTGGAAGCAAATTATTGAAGTAGAAGTCTGTAGTGACAATCATACAGATGACAAGATAAAATGGAATATTGCAAGCTCTCTAAATATATAGCTTAATGTGAAACAAAAAATGCATTACCTAATCTGCTAAGCACAGTAAAAAGATTTTCATACTGCAGGTTCTATATATAGTTTTTCCTTCTACTGCATAAGAAAATATATGGGGTGAGGGTGGATCTCATACTCCCCTGTTGGCTTGCCAGAGGGCTGCAGCATTACTCCCTGGCCATTGCCATCACATGCTGTATGAGCCTTGCTCATCCGTTCTTCATAACTTCGGATCTGTCAGCAATGCTCTGCTGCTTACTGCCTTTCCTACACAGCTAACAGAAAAGGATGAAGCCCAGAAATCCTTACATAAAACATCAGCACTGGCTCTGTTGCCAGGATACTTCCACAGCAAAAGAGGCAAAGGCAGGATTCAGTCTCTGTTGTGTATTGTAGAAATCATCAGAAAGATCATTCTTTGCAGTTATTTGAAATGTGCCACTTAACGGGCCATTGCTGAGGAGCAATTTCCAGGGCAATGTGTTTCAGCTTGAACTTGATCAAGAGGTAATGCTCACCTGCTTTCATCCTTGCATTGCACACCTCTAATTTGCTTCTCCCAGACACATTCTATGTGAGCAACGACTGGGCAGCACCCAAGAAACAGGCACTGGCATGTGCTGTGTTACAAAATGAAATACATGAGCATCGGTGCAAGGCAGCTCCCCTCCTCCTTCTCCTCCTAGCCCCCCGCAAAGTAATTCCTGTAGGTGTGGCCAGCAGAACAAGCACTGCCTGTGTTGGCTCTCATGGTTTCATAAGCAGGGTTTTGTTGTTCAGTTACACTGATTGAGGACTTTGGGGATTGTAGCAAAGCCGCTCTGTACATACATGCTGTGTTGCTTTTGTTGGGCAGCGTAGCTCCCACGGACCTTGTTACTGCAGTCATTTTCTCTGTGAGCTGACAGGGTCTTAGCTACTTCCAAAATGTGTGCACATTTGGAGTTTATGTCTTTGAACAATCAGAAAACAAGAATAAGTTGATTTTGAGTTATTATTTTTTTAACTCTTGGTGGAGAGAGCAATCTAGTTTTTATGAAGCAATGGAGGCAGGGTATTTGTTATTTCCAGTTCTTTTAGAAAGTGTATACTATTTAAAATGCTTCACTTCTAACAGGAGTCTTTTATTAAACACGGGACTCTTTGGGGACATCCAAAACATTAATACATTCTTTATAGATGCTCAGGAACTTAATGGGTTAATAACTGTCAAAGGTATCAGAGTCTGGCAACTCAAAGGACTGCTGTAACACCCAGGAGTACTACGTGGAAATAGTAACAGAGCTAAGATGAAACTGAAGGGAATAAACCCATCTTTATCAGACCATTTGTAGTTGCAGAGATCTTTGTGCTTTTGGGCTGATTTTTCAGACCACTTTTCGGTGTCTGTTGAGATAATCTGTGCATCTCTTGAGATTTATTAGTAGGAATCAAATTTTCAATAGTTCACTTCTATATACCTTGCTTCATATGCCATCAGACTCTCCTCAGATGACTGTTTATGGACTGAAGATCTTCAATCATGTTTCATAATTGTCTTCTTGTTAATTTGTGTTCCCCGATGTGTTTATTTCTGATTTTTGTCACCCTTCCTTAGCCTGGAATCTCGGTTCTTTAGGATGGGACATTTGGCTATTTTAGAACAGAGCTATTTCAGCCCTTTGTCCTGGATCAGCTTCTCTCAGGAGGGATTTATCTCATCCAACGTTAATAAATTATATGCTAAATGCATCATTTTATTTGAGCTACTTGTCTCTGCACTCTTTATAAAGCCAGCCATATCCTGGACTGCATCAAAAGGAGCGTGACCAGCAGGTCACAGTATCACAGTATCACAGTATGCTAGAGATTGGAAGGGACCTTGAAAGATCATCTAGTCCAATCCCCCTGCCGGAGCAGGAACACCTAGATAATGTTACACAGGAATGTGTCCAGGCGGGTTTTGAATGTCTCCAGGGAAGGAGACTCCACAACCTCCCTGGGCAGCCTGTTCCAGTGTTCCGTCACCCTCACTGAGAAGAAGTTTCTTCTCAAGTTTAAGTGGAACCTCTTGTGTTCCAGTTTGTACCCATTACCCCTTGTCCTATCATTGTTTGCCACTGAGTAGAGCCTGGCGCCATCCTCATGACACTCCCCCTTTACATATTTATAGACACTTATAAGGTCACCCCTCAGTCTCCTCTTCTCCAAACTATAGAGACCCAGCTCCCTCAGTCTTTCCTCATAAGGGAGATGCTCCACTCCCTTCATCATCTTCGTTGCCCTGCGCTGGACTCTCTCCAGCAGCTCCCTGTCCTTCTTGAACTGAGGGGCCCAGAACTGGACACAATATTCCAGATGCGGTCTCACCAGGGCAGAGTAGAGGGGAAGGAGGACCTCTCTCGACCTACTAACCACCCCCCTTCTAATACACCCCAGGATGCCATTGGCCTTCTTAGCCACAAGGGCACAGTGTTAGCTCATGGTCATCCTGTTGTCCACTAGGACCCCCAGGTCCCTCTCCCCTACACTGCTCTCTAACAGGTCGTTTCCCAACCTATACTGGAACCTGGGGTTGTTCCTGCCCAGATGCAGGACTCTACACTTTCCTTTGTTATATTTCATCAAGTTATTCCCTGCCCAGCTCTCCAGCCTGTCCAGGTCGAAGGAGGTGATCCTGCCCCTCTGCTCTCGTGAGACCTCACCTGGAGTATTGTGTGCAGTTCTGGTGTCCTCAGCATAAAAAGGACATGGAACTGTTGGAACAAGTCCAGAGGAGGCCACGAGGAAGATCAGGGGACTGGAGCACCTCCCGTAGGAAGATAGGCTGAGAAAGTTGGGGCTGTTGAGCCTGGAGAAGAGAAGGCTGCATGGAGACCTCAGAGAAACCTTCCAGTATCTGAAGGGGGCCTATAGGGATGCTGGAGAGGAACTCTTCATTATGTACTGTAGTGATAGGACAAGGGGTAACAGGGTAAAACTTAAACAGAGGAAGTTTAGATTGGCTATAAGGAAGAAGTTCTTTACTGTGACGGTGGTGAGGCACTGAAATGCGTTGCCCAAGGAAGTTGTGAATGCTCCATCCCTGGCAGTGTTCAAGGCCAGGCTGGACAGAGCCTTGAGTGAGATGGTTTAGTGTTAGGCGTCCCTGCCCATGTCAGGTGGGGGCTGGAACTAGATGATCTTAAAGTCCTTTCCAACTCTTAACTATTCTATGATTCTATGTTTCTATATAAGGAAGAGAGAAAGAGGAAATTCCAAAGAGTAAGAGAGCATAGCTGTTTTAGATACCCACCTTAGGGGTTCATCTCCGCAATCTAGAATGTGCATTTCAGCCTACAGATACACAAGAGCCTAGATAGCTAAATTTAAATGAGGAACCCTACAATTTGCCAAGCAGTTTATGATCTATTATCTGTTAAAATGGTCGAGAGTCAGCATTGAGTTTCTCATACCTAGTGCAATTGCCCACATAACTGGACTGCTGGCTGCTCTAGGTTGGGTCTCTGCCATTCACTGGTTTGGGTGAGGCATCTTGCACCTCAGAAGCCTTTCCTAATTGATACGGCATTGAAATGAGCAAACCCTGCAAAACTGTTGATTTGACAAAAGAGGTGAAAAGAGTCTTGGTCAAATTGCAACCTGATTGTCAGACTTTCAGTTTTCACTGCTGTTGCTGTTTGTGTCTGCAGAGAATTAAGTCAGTCTCCTTCACAACCAACATCATGATTTGACACTTTTGTTGATCATGTCACATTTGGTTCACACTTCTGACTGATTAAGTGTTTATCATCCAAACTCCAGAAGATCCACTCTAAGACTGGAAGAATGCTTATGTGTGTGCATTATTCTTGCATTCCTTGAGGAATGATAAGCTGCATGCAGAGAACAGAAGTTCTGGCAGGCTCAAAGGAATTGAGGAATAATATATGACATAAAATTTGAAAATGATCATTCCATGCCTTAGATTGATAATGAAGCAAAAGGCTAGACTCCCAATGCTGTCAATCACCATGCAAGGTG